CTCATTCCAAAGCAGCCACCCAGGAGGCCCCTGCCCTAATGGAGAAACCATTCACGTCGGATGTTCTGTAAGCTCAAATACCGGTTTTGGTTTCCAGCAGGTGAAATTATCAACAAACTCCACTCTTAGCTTGCCGGCCTAAGATTGCCATTTCAGTTTTGACGAAAATAGATGTCAAATCAGTGAAGACAGGGTAAGGATGTTTTAACATCCTGTCTTTTAAAATAGTGGCTTTTACATTATTTTCCCAGAGCCAACCAACCTGTTTCCATGGAAACTGCATCGAAAGGGCCCCAGCAGCCAAAAGCCAGAACTCTCCCTTGTATGTTTCATCTGGCGGCTGTCAATCGCTCTGTACCTGCAACTTTGAGTAACGGCCCCAGCTTAAGTCTCCCAGAGTTGAGGCTTGGAAACACCTCCACAAAGAGAAATTCAGCTCTGGCCGCTCTGCTTTGTATCTGACAGGGTAACAGATGTAACGTTATCAGGGACAGAGGACTCTCGGTTCTGATCCGGGCAATTAAAGCCACGACTGATACAGAACTGCAGTGTTAAACTTGGCTTTCCTGTCTGTCCTATTTTAAAAGCGTCTACTTTGTTTAGTACCATAGGTTAAAGTCCCCAAGAGGGATATCACTTTCTCCCCTGTACAGTGTTGCAAACTTTGAATTATTCTGCAAATGCATTTTTAATCAAACTTAGAGCAATGAATCCCATCTTGCCAGGGAGTGAGGAGTCATTTGTTAACCCATGGCAGTTTAAGTGCCCAAAAGAAGGATTTATAAGAACTTTATAATATTTATAAAAATTTTACTTTTTACCTTAATAATGCTTAGAAAATAGATAACGATACCTAATAGGTCCATAAAAATTCTTTATCGTATATAAATTAGCATGGCAGGCATAAAGAAACTATATATACATTTGAAAACATATTTTTTCCACATAATCCTCAGGAGCTCAAGTAGTTATTAAGGTTAATTCCATTAAAATAAAGTTAAGGCTTATTTTTAAACTAGAATTCACTATGTAATGGAAATCCTTTTGAAACAGAGAATAATACTTTGGATACAGGTCAAAGGCAATTGCTGCATTACAGCAGCACCTTATCTATCTGATTTTGTAGGGGAAAAAGTATTCCACATAAGTGAAGTTTTCAGATAACTGAAGCTTAATGGAATAAGCATTTATTCCCGTTGGAACTCGTTGAAAACCATCTTTACGCATAATTGGAAAAAATAAAATACTATTAAGTGACAAAACAATATTATCCCATGTGATCTTCACAGCAGCCGCGGGAAGCAGGACATATGATTCTCCCCATTTACAGCCGAGGAAAGTGAGGCACACGCTGATCAAGTAAATTACACAGATCTCACAGCTAGTGGGAAAGGCCAGATTCGAATCCAGGTCCTCCTGACGTGAGGGCCGGCGCTCTAGCCGCCTGACTTGGAGTCTGGAAGATCTGTGAGCACCAACACTTTGTATTTCAGCCATTTTTACGAGCACAGTTCTAGATCGCGCGTGTCATCCTCAGTTTAGAATTCTGACTTCTAAGGATATGTCATACACTTTCTGCCCTCACACGCACAGTAACCAAGCAGCTCTGGTACGCTTGAAGATTTGAGATCCCTTGAGATCACGCTTACTAGCTGTGTGTCTCCGGACAAGTTATTTAACTTTCATCTACCTCAGTTTCCCCATCTGTAAAATTAGACGCATAACAGCACTTACCTCCTGGGGTTTTTGTGAGGATCCCATGAGATAACACATATGAAGTACTTTGTAAACCTTACAAACCTAAGTAAATCCTAGCTATCATTATTATTACTACTATTATCATTATCATTATTACTCATAGAATTTATAGTTCAGTAGCAGACAAATAATAGCATAGGCAGTAGAATGCGATAAAATGCTTCAAAAGATTGGGGGTTTATCCGGATCCTCCCTCAGAGTGGGATGTTTTCCTTCGAAAGCAACTGGCCACCTTACATTGGGGGGCTACTTGGCATCCCCACTTTGGACCTCCAGAGATATTCAGAGGGAGGGAAGACAGCATTCCTGCTCCCCCCAAGACCCAGTGGGAAGTAGCCACCAAGCTGAGACATTCCACCCAGGAACTGGGATAGGGAGGAAATTAGGATTCGCTCATCTAAGCCAACATGTATTTCAACCAATTAGAAAACACGTATGAAGTGCTGACTACGTGCCAGGCACTGCGCTGAGTGCTGGGGATACGAAAAGAAGTAAAAGGCGGTCTCTGCCTTCATGGAGCTTACAGTCTAATTGGGGAGACAACAGGAAAACAAATCTATACAAAGCAAGCTATATACACTATAAACAGGAAATACTTAACAGGGAAGACAGTAGAATTAAGAGTGGTGGGGGAAAGGCTCCAGTAAAAGATTTAGTGGGGCATTAGTGGGATTTTAGTTGGGACCTGAAGGAAACCAAGGAAGTCAGTAGGTGGAGTGAAGGTGGGAGAGCATTCTAGGTATGAGGGAAACAGCCAGGGGAAGTGCCTGGAGTCAGAAAAGGGGTGTTTTGTTCATGGAAAAGCCAGGAGGCCCACGTCACTGGGATCGAAGAGCGTGCGGTGGGGAACACGGTCTAAGAAATGTGGAAAGGTAAGACCTATGATGTGCCCAACACCGTCCGAGGGAGACAATGCAAAACGAAACAGCCCCTGTCCTCACAGAGCTTATGTTCTACAGGAGGTGAAGAACACGGACACGCAGTAAACAAAGAGGCTGTCTGCACAGGCCCCGGAGGAGGGATACGGGGCCAGTCTGCGCCCTGCAAAGCATCTCCTATCAGCGTTCCCTGGCACCTGAGAAAGAAGACCGAAGCCCCCGAGTGTGTCCAGAGTGGGGTTTCTGTGCCAGCAGGAAGCCTCTGTTTTGCAGAAGGCTTATGACATTTGTCATGATGCCTATAGCTTTCTGTTGTTGCTGTTGCTTGTTTGTTTGTTTTGGCTAGGCAGTGGGGTTAAGCGACTTGCCCAGGGCCACACAGCTACTAAGCGTCATGTGTCTGAGGCCAGATTTGAACTCAGGTCCTCCTGACTCCAGGGCCGGTGCTCTCTCCACTGCCCCTCCTCTAGCTTTTCAAAAGCGAGGAGAGTACTTAATTGTCCAGAAATAAATAGCACGGCATATTTTGAGAGGAGCGTGAGGTACTACAGAGAATGGGATTGGGAGAAGTCTCGGTGCTGTGCAGAGAGCTGGGTTCAAACCCTTCCTTAAACATTTACCAGTTGTGTGTCCCTGGGCAAATCAAGCAACCTCTCTGGGCCTCATTTTCCTCTTCTGTAAAGTGTGGGGATTGGACAAGATCTCATCTGAAGCCTCTTCTACCTCTAAATCTATAATCATATGAGATCTGGGTTCAAATCTGATCTGCAACGCGGATAAGCCATGTGACCCCGGATAAATCACTTAGTTTTTCTGTACCTCAGTTTCCTCATCTATAAAATAAGTACAATTATGCCTGTAGCACTTCTGTAAATGTCACTTATTATTACATAACCTAAGTGATTATTTTCTATCACAAGTAACTGTTTTTAACTTTCTTTGTATCTCCCAAGCACTTAACATAGTGTTCAGTACACTGTAAGCTCTTAATCAAAGCTTGCTGGTTGGAGGTTCAAATAATTTCACAGCAAATTGTTCTTATGACTTGAATAATTGATTGCAATTTCAACCACCAACATCCTTTGATAAAAGGCTGTCCCAAAAGTCTTGGTGAAACTTTAAGGGCTTACGGCTGCACCAAGACTTTTGGGACACCCCAGTATAATAAAAAAAAATTAGGATGATAATAATACATATCTATTCATTGGAAAACCTTTATTCAATGCCAGGCTTTGTGCTAGATCTTGGGGCTATGAAGACAAACAGCTCTTGAAGGTTTAGAGCAAGAGTTTTTAGCTCGGGACCCATGAACTTCTTAAAAAATATTTTGATGGATTGCCATATAATTGTTTTCCTTCATGATTCTGAACCTTTTATTTTATAGTTTTAGAAAATCTTGAAAAGGGGGTCATAGGCTTCACTAACTGCCAAATGGTTCTCTCACACAAAAGGCCCCACATCCCTGGTTTGGAGTGTTTTGCCCTGTGTGAATTATTATGAGTGTTTATCTCCATTTTTATAATTGAGGAAATGAGATTGCAAAGTGATTTGCCTAAGTTCATATAGCTACTATGTGTCATGGCTGAGATTTGAACCTTGACTCCTTACTATAAATCCAACACACATTTCTACCATGGTTTAAACAATATGTTACGTATCCTGGCAATTATTTAACAACCAGCTTTTTGAAAGAAAAAAAAGAGGTGTGACACACACTTTAGTTTCATCTGAATTATTAAATTTTTCTCCACCATTTTCTAAAGCCTAGACAATCAATGGAACAATAAATCAAGCCTGGATTCACAGCGTTTGCCTATTTCTAGGAGCATCAATAACCATACCGAAACTAGAACAATCAGGTCTCCAGAGCCAGAAAGGGACGTCTGTCTCCAGCACATCTTTGCTTGTATTACCTTTGACCAGTCTAGCATTTTATGAGCCACTGCAAAGCCTATCCCTTGACAGCCCTAGATTCAAGGCATCCACTTCTGGATGAGGCTGATTGGAAGACTTCTCTCCCTCTCCTTCCTCTTGCTTCCAGGCCTGCTTTTCTGGGAACCCAATCTTCTCTGCCAGCCTCACATCCAAGAATCTGAATGGTTAGCCATTTGAGATACATGTTTCTTTGCCATCAACAATATATAATAACTTGCAATCAAGGAACTGGGAGATCCAGGCTCCCTGAGAGCTAATTATTCACCTAACTCTCTCATCTGTTGGCCAGAAACTGGTTTCCACCATGCTGAGGTAGAGAGTGAGACAGCAAGCACTCACTGCTCCATGGCATCCAAAGTCATTCCTTCACCAGCAGAGCTGCCGGGAGACACTGGAGACCAAAGGACAAGAAGAAGAGAAGGCACCTACCTGGGTGATGTAGATAATTTTGTGCAGCTGAATTAAGATCTGCTGAATGGGATCGCTGATCTGCCGCACTTTTCTCTGGGACACAGCAATCCCTGCAGAAGCTGGAGGAGATAACGCTACTGTTAGAACAAGACCTCCATTTGGTGCTTTCCAAAGTAAATGTTAGCGAAGGCTACTGTAATAAGCAATGGGACTTTGCTGTGTTTAATTCTGAAAAGGATGTATAAAAGTGGGGAAAAAAAACAGCAGCCACTCTCAGGTCCCTAGCAAAAGGAAAGTCCTTCAGAACAGTGGCAAGGTTTCACTAGTTGGGACCATGGAATATAGGATTCTTTTGTTTCTATCAGCCTGGACATCACCTTGTCACTAGAATATTAAGCTCTGAAAGTTCGCCATTACAAAATGCAGAATGAGACACAGTCAAAGTGGGAATTAGTCTTGCTTGACTATGAATATTTGTTACAATTATTTGGTTTTCTTTTTTGGGGGGGGAGGAGGATGCGAGGGAAAGACAATTTTTTAAAGTTTTTAAATTTTACCATTCAGGAAAGAGGCTGTTTACTGCCTCTTGGTATTTCGGCCTATAATTAGCATTTGCTACCATCACTGATGTTCTAAGAACAGCCAAGCTTTAGGTACAGCTCACAGGATCCTACAGTTAGTACTGGAAGGGACCTTAGGAGTCCAATCCTCTTATTTTTTAAGATGAAGAAAGTCCTGGAGAGACTAAACAACTTGCCAAAGGTCACACAGCTAGCAAGTGTCTTAGGCAGGATTTGAACCCAGGTCTTCCTGACTCCATGTCCAGTGCCCTATCCACTTCGAGGCTGGCATGATTTTCTACTCATGACCCTTTAAAAAATTAAAAACATAACTCTTTATTATAACAAATAGTAACTCTGAATAGGACAAAGGATCATGCTATACATAGATCACTTTTAAAGAAATGCACACCTAAGTACAATTAAATACAGTCTTTATATCTTTACTGTTACAGATACTTTTTTCACCTTGGTTTTCCCCCCAGGATCAAGGAGAAACTTCTCTTTAACTCACATCAGATCCTTAGGTTAGATTCAGAGCCTTGGTATTAAAATGCCAGCAGACTGCTTTTGATGGTCACCATAACTCCTCTTTCACCACCACCCCCAACCCTCATCAACCTTGTGGTCACTAAGGTCCCAATTCCACTGCTCTGGCCTCTGCATCAGTCTCTTCCTTTCCTCTGCCTTCCTTCATTTACAAAGCCCAAACGTGAGACAACACAGAACATCCATTCTCTACCCACGCCATCCTGCCATGACTGCTGGAAGTGATCCCTTCCTTCCTGAGTCCCTCAGTCCTGTCTCTGACCTCCATTGTGTATTCAGTCCCCTTCTAACTTGTATGACAGGTATTTGTCTCCATGTCTCCCAAACTTTTGGGGATAAGGAGTGTGTCATCTTATGGTCACCTCTGTAATCCCACCAACGCCCTGCACATGGTTCATACTTAATATGTGTTTATGGAAGTGAACTGAACAGCAGAATATCTTTCTCTTTCCATATTCAATGTTTAGCACGATGCCTGGCACATAGTAGGCATCCACTAAATGATGACTTACACCTTCCCTGAACCTCTCATTTCTTGGCTTTCTTGGCAAGACCTTTGATGATTGAAATTAGAATAGTTATTCTCTAATTATTAAGAGTTCTAACAGTATTTAATTTAATTATTTAATGCATACTGGCTTCTGGTGGTACTGTTTTCAGAAAGCTTGTATGTCTTCATTTGAAAAGTTATATTAAAGGCATGTAAACAAATTTTTTTGAGTTTTTAAAAGGCTGAAAAATAGTCTCACCACAAACATTATAAGATCTGTTTTTAAGACATAAAAGTACAAATAAAATATTATCTACATTCCAAAAGGTATACTTTTGTCTCTCTTTTTATTTGTTAAATAAATTTTGCTGATATCTTTTGTTATTGCACTGATTGCCTGAATTTTCCAGTGTTCTTCCCCTTCTAGAGAGTCATCCCACATAAGAATTTGTTTTACAAGAGGAAAAAGAGAAAGCATATTAGCAAAAATAATCCATAGCACAGCAACAACAAAAAAATCAGACAATATATACAATGTTCCATATCTAATGACCTCTCATCTCTGTAAATGGGTGTAGGAAGATGTTGTAAAACCTCAATGGAAAATGACCAATAGTAAGAGTACATGCAGCTTCCAAGAGCATCCCAGAGCCCCAGAATCCTGAGCATCACCTTCCTTTTCAGTCTCATCTCTTGAACTGTGAGAGTGGATCTAGTACATTGTCTCATGTTGGGGGGCCTGAAGAGCGGGGGAGATCCACTGCGATCTAAAAGAGCGCACTTATTTCCCGAGCCTAAATCAGCCACTGTTTTCCACCAGCAGCCTCACTGCCTAAGAGTCTACACAACTTGATGCTTGTCAGTGACCGACTTTTTGAACATGATTTTAAAAATGTCTCTTTCTATGCAGACCCATCCTCAAAACCTGAGCAGACAAGCAGGGTGGCAACACGGGTGTTGCAGCAAAAACACTCCCTTTGCACCTGCTGAAGCCTGAATGTGAGACAACGTGTCAGAGAATGAGATACCAGCCAACCACAAATGCATCGGTTGCTTTAAATGTAAACACAGAGAGAGCTAAGCTAAAGAGAGACTTCAATTTTTAGACATTTTGGATTTTTAGACTTGACTTTTAATGGGAATTTTGGGATTTAAAAAAGGAAAGCCTTCTTGCCAGCAGCCTAGACTCCTGATCACTTCGGCTTTACAGGTGCCATATGATACCCTTGGTGCCTTCAGTTTCTCATCTGTAAAATAGGGGGAAGAGGGAGAAGGTTGGACTAGCTCGCCCCTCAAGTCCTATCTATGTCTATATCTACCATGGTCCTAACATCTCATCCCCAGAGCCACACTCTACCAGGGTGACTCAGAAAGGATTTGAAAACAGTAGCATAAAGGGACTGGGATGAGAGGTAGGTGGAAGGGAAGAGGGAGATGGGATCAAATATGTGCTCACATCCTTGAGAAATATTCCATTTTTTGATCCAACCATTTTGGAGAACAATATGCAACTATGCCCAAAGGGCTACAAAAATGTGCCTACCCTTTGATCCAGCAATAGCACTTCTAGGGCTATATCCCAGAGAGATCCTACAAATGGGAAAAGGACCCACATGTACAAAAATATTCATAGCAGCTCTTTTTGTGGTGGCAAAGAACTGGAAATTGAGAGGGTGCCCATCAATTGAGGAATGGCTAAGCAAGTTGTGGTATCTGAATGTAACGGAATACTACTGTGCTATAAGAAATGATGAACAGGCTGACTTCAGAAAAAACCTGGAAAGACTTATACGGTCTGATGCTGAGTGAAGTGAGCAGAACCAAGAGGACTCTGTACACAATAACAGCCACGTTATGCAATGACTAACATTGTTAAACTGAACCCTTCTCAGCATTACAAGGATCTAAGACATCTCCAGAGGCCTCGGGATGGAAAATGCTGTCCACACCCAAAGAAAGAACTATGGAAGTCGAATCGCTATCACTTATTTTTACCTTCTGTTGAGGTTTGTTTCATCTTTCTGATGGTTCCTCCTATTGGTTTTAACTTTTACTTACAACTTCACTAATGTGAAAATATGTTTCATGGGTATGTAAATGTAAAGCCTATATCAGATTGTGCGCCATCTTGGGGGGGGAGGAAGGGGGTGAAAAATTTTCAACTCAAAAGCATATGGAAGTGATTGTTGATAAATCTAAATAAATTAATAAAATTTTTAAAAAATTAAAAAAGAGAAATATTCCATTTTTGTCATTGCATCCAATAAAGTACCTGCTGTTTAGTAGGTTAAGTGTTCATAGATTGATTCACTGAAGAGACTTGACATAAAGATTCTTATCCCTACCACATTCTTTTTCGTTGTTGTTCAATTGTTTCAGTCATATCCCACTCTTCAGGACCCCATTGGGGGTTTTCTTGGCATAGATACTGGAAGCGGTTTGCCATTTCCTTCTCCAGCTTATTTTACAGAAGAGGAAACAGAGACAAACAGGGTGAAGTGACTTGCCCAAGGTCACACAGGTCATAAGTGTCTGAGGCCAGATTCAAACTCAGGAAGATGAGTCTTCTTGACTTCAGGCCTGACGCTCTATTGACTGCGCCACCTAGCTACCACATTCCCTGCTCCAGTTTCAATACCATTTTTCCTCCCAACACCCCAAGGTGGGGAGAAAGGTGCTCCTTTCAATTGAACTGGTTTTCTTTAAAAATAAAAGATTAATGAAGATAAATAAGCTATATGGTTCTCCATTTATTTTTATTCTTTGCTCTTTAAAGGAACTAAACCAATTGCTGAATGCTGAGGAGAGGATAAGCTTGGCAATCTTCCTTTATCAAGATTTGAAGCATTTCACCGTCAATAAATCTTCAAGGCTTTCAAAAACCTTAGGCTTTCTTGTCAGTTTGTGAGGGCTACAACAAACATTTACCCTGAGCATCTGATTATGAAAATATTTTTGCTAAAATCATTTCCTCCTAAAAGGACAGCACAGATGCTCAAGTAGGTGATCGTAATTCAAGCTCTGGGCTGACCAAGTGTGGCACATTTGTGACTTTCAGTCTTGTGTTCTCACTACAAAAATTGTCTGATGTTTTGGTCTTCATCTAGAAGTCAAGCAGTCAATCAATGAGTAAATCAATAAATGCTGATTAAGCACCTACTGTGTACCAGGCACTGTGCTGAGAAATCTCAAATCTAAAAAAAAAAAAATTGTAAAGCTCTGAATTCTTCACTTACATCCTGAATAAAATATTCAAAGCTGTTTCTTTTTAAACAATAATGAAACCATATAGGGTCTAGTATCAACTGAATTTTTTAAAAGACTGAGCAAATTGGACCTTTTTCTTTTGGAAAATATAATTTTCTTTTATCCTTCAACATGTTATTCCACCTCTTGTTTTAAGTGACTAAGCTGACTCCAAACCTGCAGAAAATACACAATCCAATTATCTGGAAAGAAAGCAGCAATACAGCCCTAGCACTTGAGCAATTTGCTGAATTTACACATCCATTGCTTTCTG